AAGCAACCCACTCATACACCATAAATGAGCAAAACAGCACACACACTACATATCATACCACAACTATGAACATATATAGCACATGGTACATATACACTTCACACGTGTCACACATACCACACACACTACACACTCACATATCATATAGAGATACACATCATAAAAACACACAGATGTACCCCCACCCATATGACACACTGTGCATACACATAGAGAAACATGGTATACACACTCATACATGCATGCCATAAGCACACACACCTCCACACTATACGAATGTCACAATCATGGGTACAGTGGCAAGCCACACACACTGACCCAGCACATATATCCCAGGCCTGCTCACAAACCACACACATACACAGACATACCACATATGTAAATAATAAAGGAAGGAGGGTATAAGGACCGAGGAGTGTTCTGTAGCTGTGGAAGCTGAGTTAGTTCCTTGACTGTTTATCAGTTCTACATTCTGCCAGCCACAGGATGGTGATAACCAGGAGCATTAGCAGTGTTTCACCTCATAAGACCTTTTGAATTTAAGATTCTGATAAGGGAAAAAGTCTCCAATGAAAAGAAAATTATCTTTAGACAGTTTCAGGCTTCAGGAAGAACATTATTAAAATGATAATGGAAAATGCTTACTGAACGACCTTATGGTGCCACAGTAAATGGGAATGATGCCTATGTTTATTGAAGTAAAAAAGAATGCACTTAGAGCTAACAGCCTGAGGAGACAGAGAACAGATTAATAATGACCAGGTAACATTCCAGGCATTACAGTTTAATACAAGATTCAGTACAGAATTGGCGGAACACATTATAGCTTGCTGCAGGGACTATGGCTTCCAATTTTCCACTTCATCTATATGACACAAAAGCTTCTTGCAAGAGACGAAAAATGAACCCTTTTCCATGGAAGAGCATGGTTTGCTAAGGACCAAACGACACGCACGTACTGCAGCTCATCCTTCAGTAGCTCCCTTGCTCCGAGCGTGAGTGCACCAGGCAGCTGCACTGCAGTCTGAGGGGTGGGTTTCACCTGTCTGGATCCTCTCTGGCAGTGTGAAAACCACCCCTTGTTAGCATGGCCCGTGTTTGGGTGGCGCAGGATTTGTGAGCCCCAAGCAGCTTTGGATCTTTGGGCCACATCACTCACCTTGCTGCAGAAACACCAACAAGCTGCACCCAGGGTAATGAACGGCCTCTCTACAAAGTTCTTTAAAGTAGAAACCAGACTGTTGAGGGTCTATGGCTCAATTTTCTTGTTTAGATGCTTTGTCTGCTTTCTGTCCTGGTAACAAACATCTGAGATCAGCAACATGGACAGAGAAGAGATTCACTTTGGCTCACATACGTGGAGCTTCCAGCCCACACCATCAGGGAGACCCATTACTCTCAGATCCCCGGTGGGGCCAGCACACCATGGCAGGTCTGTGCAGAGGCAAGCCACTCACCACAGGGACAGGAAGAGAAAGAGGGAGAGTGGAAGGAAGGGGCTGGGCCCACTGCAGGACCTGAAGACTTTCTGCTGAGCCCTACCTCTGCAAAGTTCCACCACCTCCCAACCTGTCATGGGCCGGGCTGGGCCCTCAGCACAGGGCTTGTGGAAGACACCTATCCAAGCACAGACACCTACGACAACCCAGGCTAGATCAGGCATGCACGTGCACCAACGTTAGATCAGGCACACACGCGTGATGCCGCAGGTTTTTCTCTCCCATCTCTGTACTGGCACAGAACAGGCTACGGAGTCCTCGTAGGTCCATGCTGTACCACATGTGCTACATTTTTTTTCAAGTGGTTGGAGAAAGACACAGAATCCTTGTGAAAATATTAAAGGCATACCAGAAGGCATATCTTGGAGTTAGACACATTGGACACACATATAGGTAAATTCTCAAAGCATGGTTGGGTGACTACTGATTACAGCAATCGATCAGTGATATAGTTCAAGACCGCTAGAATGCAACCCGACACACAGACATATTCCTGTTGGGAAGAAGGAGATTATCCCTGTGGTTCATTAAACGCTATACATGTGTGTTGAATTATCATATTGTATCCCATAGAGAAGCAAAGATATTATGTTTCAATAAAATATAAATTTAAAATCTTTTGAGAGATTTTGTGAGATTTCAAAGGTAACTGAGACCATTAAGTAGTTATGCTTTAATCTTAGGACATATTAATTACTCTATTCCTGTGTATATGAATAACATATATTTTCAGATTTTTCCAGCTGTACTGAGGTATAATTGGCATATAGAAATTACATATATTTATATATTTACAGGTCTGGGCAATTAGGAGACATATTGAGGCCCTTTCTAATATACGTATCTTTTCTTTTTATATGCTGGAGATGTAGTTCATTGTGAAGTCCCTGGGTTTAATCCCCAGTACTGCAAACAAATTATACACAGTGTTATCTATGAATGTGTAATATGATGTGGTCTTTACTGTACTGGGGTATATTCCATGCATACCTTTTTGAGTGTTCTTTTCCTCATGAAATGATATGGAATTTTGTCAAACGCTTTATCTGCATTTGCTGAGATGATTGTATGATTCTTTCATTCTTTTAAAGCAGTTTCTCACATTTTAGAAAATGTTTCGTTACACCATCCTTAAATCCCAGGGATCACCCCTTCTTGAATGTGGTGTGTGATCCTTTTAACATGGTGTTGAATTCATTTTGCTTGTGTTGTATTTTGTTGAGGATTTTCACATCTACATTAACATTGACACTGACCTGCAATTTTTTTTGGTATTTACATAGTTTAAAGCAGCATGTCTGCCCGGCATGGCAGTGCATGCCTGTAATCGTAGCACTTGGGAGGCTGAGGCAGGTGGATCCCAGTGAGTTTGAGGTCAGCCTGGGCTATAAAGTGAGTTAAAAGCTACATAGCAAGACCCTGTCTAAAAACAAAAAAAAACAAAACAAAACAAAACACACACACACACAAAAAAAAAACAACATAAAGCAGCATACCCATAGACTGAACATAAGAATGGCAGTAGAAGAGGAAGTTGCAAAAGATATTCTTTTTCATCAAGCCTATGAAAATCTACCCCCAGTACGTGTTTCTGTGAGAAAAGAGCTGTGTTCTCACAGAGCAGGTAGAAGTTTTTCACAATCTCTGTTTATAAACTAAATATCCATCAGGTTTCCTGCTGTATAAAATGCCTCCTATCAGGGCGAGTTGCACAAACAGGTTTCAAATATTGTGGGTATTTAAAGAGACTTACATATGTGTAGCTAGAGAAAAAGTAAAAAACAACCAAACAAACTCCCACGCTCCTTCATACACCTTCGCAGCCATCTGAGAACATTACACTATTTCAAACTGAACCACACGCAGATCGTCGTAGTGACTGGGATACAGCTCCCTGTGCAGGTGCCCGACATTCTTCGAGTCGGCCCTCACGGCCATGAGGCATGCTGGCACACTGGCACGTGGGCAACTCTCCCTGTACGAGTCACGTGAACAGACTCATTCTCCAAAACGACGCCAACATAGCCATTGAATCTTTCTCGTTCTGCTTTTCCCTATTACAAACCAGACTGTCTGATGATTCACTTTGGCAAACAGGAAGAATCTCAAAATAACAAATCAAACTTTTTTCTGGCTTATCTAAACAGCAACAAATGTAAACATTTTCTTAACATTTCCTTATCTGTAAGGAATTTACTGTCGTGTATTTTCCAACATGATCATGTTGTAACAGCTGGATTTTATCAGTCCTGCCTTCTAGGGATGGTTTATCTGAAAAGGAGGAGGAGTACAGGGACGTCTGCAAAGTTGGGCTTTTGCTAATTGAGTTCTGAGTCCGCAGCCTTCCTCAGGCCCTAGGCGTGAGAAGGGCCGGGGAGAGGTGTCCAGAGGACTGACAGGTGGTCTGGCCACAGCAGCACAAGGACCTGTAACTTTCCAGCGCAAGTGCGCCCAGGCTGTTCCAACTGCTCCCTGCTTCCCCTGCTGTCCCCTGAGACTCCTGTCTGGAGGACAGAACCAGCGCAAGGATGAAGGGTTAGCTTGAAAGCAAAGGGAAAGAGGCCATGCTGCGGGCACAGTGCGTTCCGTACAAGGCACACACTCTCTACCCTCCGGGAGGCCCAGACAGTACTTGGGAGAACTGTGAAAGGCGCACATTTTGGGAACCTCCAGGCCATGTATGAAGTAGCTACTTTTCACCGATTTTTATTTGCTCACCAATAACTTTTCAAGAATATACACATGCGTGTGCTTGCACATGTGTGCAGGCCCCGCACCCCTGTGCATTCTGCACTTTCTGCAGTTCTGTTTTCCATGCTTTCTGTGGTTCTGCAGGCTCTCTGAGGGCAATCCCTGCAACCAACAGGTATCTCTTGAATGTCTACCTTGGGGAATCTGTGTTTACAGAACACATCAGCGGGCCTCGAGGAAAGCCCTGCCTTCTCTGTGTCATACTTTTCTGACAGGGACTATGCAGCATACAGTCATCAAAGCCTGCCAAACTGACTTGAATCAGGGTCCTTCAGAGCATATAACACAGCATCATCGAATTCTAGTTTGGTGTAAGTGCGCTCAAACTGTATTTTTGCGGTGTACTTCTGGGGACAATCACGTCCTAACTTGCATTCAGTTGAGAAGGAGTTGCATTTACCAGTGGTTCTCCCATGTGCTCTTGCATGGCAATACCCTCCACGTCCCATGGGATGCTGCTTTCCAGGTGCACCCCACCCCCATTCACCGGAAGTCCAGGTCTGACAGACGCTGTTCGAACGTGAGAAGCTTATAGGCACCAGTTCCAATGCGTCTAAGATGAGATTTACTCTCTCTTGTAATATAATCCTATTTACTGGCATGATCGCTTTCCTTTGGTAAAACTGCAATTTCCCTTTCAGTTATCAGGAAGGGTGTGTCTGTGTGGACCTCCGCCTGCTCACTCCGCGCTCCGCCGCACTTCCCTTCTCCCCAGCTCTCCTCGGCACACTGCAGGGCCGCCTAGTTCATCTTCATTCATTTGCATTCTCTCCACTTGAACACTTCGATTTTTCCCTTATACACTTAATTGTATAATTTCTCTGGTCAAAACCCCTCAGATATTCCCCATTCCCCACTGTATAAAGGTGTCCAGGTGAGGCAGCTCAGGTCTCTCCGTTTCACCCATAACCAGGTTCCATTTTCGTGGCCATAATTACCAGTAACCGGGAGGACAACTCAGAGTTGCACTTTAAGGAACAGGCTATTGAGTTACTATTTTAAGCACTAACTCTCCTCTAAAGACATAAAGAAGTGTCAAGAAGTTGACAATAACTCCTTGTAAAATGTAATGATTTTTGACCCAGCTAGAAAGTTAATTACGCATACGCCAAAATTTCATCCAGCATCCAGTAGTACCATAGAGTTAAACTTTACCTCCAACAACAGACGGTAGTCCTCAAACGGGGAGGGACCATGAGACTGTCACAGTGATCGAGAACACACTGTTAATTAGTAGGTGGGGAGGACGGTTGCTGAACATTACTTAGTCTAGGAAACAACTGTCCTGCCTCCTGCACAGCTTTTTCTTTTCTAGTACTGGAGACTGAATCTAGGACCTCTGTCCTCAGCTATATCCCCAGACCTACTTCATTTTTTACTATGAGACAGAGTCTTGCTAGGTTGCTAAGGTTTCCACCAGACTTGAACTCATGAGCCTTCTGCCTCAGCCTCCCAAAATGCTGGGATTATACGCATGCGCTACAATACCCAGCTTCCCTATACAACTTACAAATACTCACAGGACACCCAGGTGGGTTAAAAACAGGTAAAAATGGTCTCTATAAGTTTAAAAAATCCTCTTTTGTACAGTGACATTATGAACTGACTCTCTCAGAAATACACCTGAGGTACAAACAGACAAAAAATTCTAGTGAAATCTGTTTTGAAACTAATCATGAATCTTTTAAAGTGCTTCTTACGGGAAAACATGACCATTCTGAAAAATAGCATGCTTTAAGATAAAAGCAAAGACAGGTCTGTCCATCCAGGCATGAAAGCTAAGAGAGGGAGAATTAGCAGAGAAATAGGCACAAGGCAACAAACACACAGGAAGAACAGGTCCTACTAACATCTCCCCTTCTTTGCCCCAAGGCTGACATTTGACAGGGATGCACTGGCATGGCCATGCCAACTTCTGAGTGACTGATTCTTCCTGGGACAACCTGCCATGTCTCCAGGCCTTCCAGCTCCCTAGACTCTTCGCTCTCTCCCAGGAACTCTGCAGACGTTACATTGATTTAGCAACTGCAAGGCCTGCCCTAGC